GGTTTAGTCAAAATAAAAATTCAACATATGATAAATGTCAAAGAGAATGGCATGCTGTGCTTTGGAAAATTAAACAGTTTTGTGATGGAAAATGAATTACATTTTGATGACAGTATTATAAATTATGTAATAGGGAACCTCTTTCGAATGAAAAAATGTATAAGAGAATATTTCACAGAAGGGAAGACTAAGTATGACTGGATGAAAAATCTGTTCAAGTACTATGATAAATCTTGCCTATGAAGGCTTGCCAATGAAGGAAATACAACAATTTATCAACATTTCAATGAATTCAATGCTAAAATCTAAATTTAAGCAGAAGCAGCTCCTAAATTTCTGATATTCATATAAAACATTTTAATATCATTTGGAGCAACATATTCAAGTGAAAAATTTTTATCAACATATGTGGCAACAAAATAAATGAACAAATTAAATGCAGAATATGAAAGTGACTTCATGTAACATGAAGAGCCAGACTGACAGTTTATGGGGGGGGGAAATTTGCAAGCACATCCCAATCACTAAATATAATGCAATGGTAGGTGATTTCTGGAGCATAGTTAAACTATTAATGTGTAGATTATATTAAATTTATGTTAAAATTTTTTAATAAAAAATGCAATATTTTGCCTTAAATGTCTTCATAGAATGTACCTATAATATATTAATCTGCTTTAAATATTATTTTTAAATATATTTTTCTAAGGGTTGGATGAGGTTCCCCGAAAAAGCTTTATAGTTTTAAGGGTTCCATGAATCGACTAAGTTTGAAGACTACTGCTGTAGATGATAGAAATTGGTCAAGCCCAGAAACTTAGAATTGTAATTTTACTGCAACACAAATTTCTGTAATTATTTTCACAAATTAGGGGGAATTTTTAAAAAAATTTTTCAGTTACATAATAAATCCCCATTTTTAGTTGTTTCTTATTTTTCCTTAATTTTTATTTTATTATATCAAATAAAAAGCTAAGCTGTAAAAAGTATTTAATAAGATTTAGTTTAAGAAATATATTTTATATGAAAAATACAAGTAATTAGCAAAGCAACAACCTTGTGTTTGCCATAGATTTATTCAAGATCTCAGTCAATTTTGAGGGCAAACAGGTACAGGTCCCTCTTCATCAGGAGTAAAGAACTCTGCATAATCAGTCTTGCAGTTTTCTTCACTCCTGATGAACAGAGCCCTGTACCTGTTTGTTCTCTGATTAAAGTTGATTAAAGTCTTGATTATCCTTTAAGATTTGATGTATTTAACTAAAGGAATGCTGTCATTGTTCTTCATAATGTTCTTCCTTTAGCCCATATATTGCAGTAAGGACAGGCTTACTATATTTTTTTTTGGGTTCAACCCAGGACATATTTAAAAAAAAAAAAAAAAAAAAAAAAAAAAAAAAAAAAAAAAAAAACTTAAAAGTCTTAACAGTTTACTGAAGCATTAAATTAAATTTTTTCAATTGTATTTTTTGCTATACATGACTTTTTTAGAATTGGTTTGTGTGTTTTGATTACATTATAAAATTCACAAGACATGACTTTTTTTTAGTAATGGTTTGTTTGTCTTAATTACATCATAAAATTCACAACAAGAAAGTTGTCCTATTACAAACTCAACTATTTTAGAATATTGCAAAATGAAATATCAGTCTTTCGAAACATTTTGAAAATTGCTTTCCACTTCTGTTCAATAGTATCTGGTACTTTTTCAGAACCTGAACCTACCCTTTGGTTTTGAATTATCTCTTTCAACAATGTATGTTCTTTAAATACATCGTCAATATTTATGGAATTTTTTATAATTTCATTAAAAACTTGCACACTTTCTTCTAAATCAGACCAGGCAATTTCAGTTTGTAAATTTATCAAACTTTATTATCTTACTAACTTTCACCACAACTTTTAAGTATTGTATACTAGAATTATAAAAATTGTTTGTGTATGAGAAAAATTTTGGTCTATCATTTTTTTTCTTTTAGAGTGCATAACAATTCTTTGTCAAAAGATGGTTTAAATTTGTGGGTTTTTTTTTCCTGAAGTTGACAAATTGATTCAGGATATGTCTGAAATGCTTCTATTGCTGTGACAGAATTAGTTTCCAAATTCAGAATTACATTATTAAATAACCACATAAAAATTTTATATTTTCCAAAATATCAAACAATAATTTTGAGCATTTGTCACAAGATAAGTAGAATTTTAGGTCATTAAAAATGGAAAGAATTCTTTGTATTGCAGGTAACAAACTAAGGAACCATGTACTGTTGTGAGATAATACTTTTTTTGTAATCTCTTTCCACAATTCACGGAACTCTTTAAATTTCATTACTATTACTGTATATATATGAAAATATTTATAAATTTTTATAACAACTTCTATTCAGGGGTGGAAAATCACATGCTGTTTGTACTGAATTGTGTACAGTGTGGGCTGAACAACCAGTTCCTAAAATAGGTCTATGTAAATCAATTTGCACTTTTCTGAACACATTTTTATCCCCCCTTTTTCTTCACACCTCTAAAATTACTGTTGGTATTATCAGCAATATAACAAACCAACTTTTCTTCAAGTCTGCACTTTTTTCACTCATTGCAAAAGATGCTGAGTCAAAATTTGAGCAATTTCACCTGACACTTCAATCAAAATTTAGAAGTTTTAACTTGAATTTCCTTCTCCACACTGAAATATCTTACAACAGTCGAAAGAAGTTTTCTGTGTCTGGATCTTCTGTTTGAACTATCTATCATTACTGTTACATAATTAATGTTTCCCAAAGAACACAACACATTATCAAATATAAATGGTGAAACAATGTTAACAGTAACTGCCTTGGGTTTGATTCTAACAGATGAAAATTTGGGGGTCATTGAACTTTTTAACCTGTTTAGATGTACAGTCTGATATTTTGAAACTTAGTTTGTCTCTAGCAGCATTGTATGAAAATGTAGTTTCTTTAGCAGCACACTCCAGATCACTGTTATTGTTATTTCTATCTTTGGCTACAAATCTGATATTTTTTTTTTTTTTTTTTTAAAGTAGCATTAATAGCACTCCAATGTTTACATGTTTTTCACTTGGTATTCAGTATAACCCTTTCCTTTATGTGCAACAGAAAATTCTCCTTGTACATACTGTGCACTAAACACATTTATTGTTATTATCACTATAATTTCAAAAAGTTATATTCTTGTTGCAGATCACAATAAACACACATTTTCATTGCTAAATGAGACATAAAATGAATAGATATAAAATGATCAAAAACATGTAAACGAGTTACTTTATGCACAGAAACAACGTAAACACTGTCCCTGCTGTGTTGTCAAATGACTAAGTAAAAGTTGCAGTGAGAATGGCAGCCATGCTTCTTTCAAAATTGTCATCAGTACTTACTCCAAGGTCATCTGAGATGCGCCTAAGAGAATGCTTAAAAGTATGATATTGAGCATATTGATCTAAAATTTAAAAAAAAAATTCCCCGTAAATCATAAAATTCTGAAACCCTGGACAGCACTAAAAATCCAGAACTGTTTGGGATAATCATGGACATTGGTAAGCCTAAGTGAGGAAGAAAATTTGCATTTTATCAGTGTCACTTATGAAAACAACATAAACTCAGGTGAAAATTCTAATCTTCAGTAGTGGTGTTGATAACATTATACTGGCATTTAACTGATTTATATAAGCAAGTATTGGCTTAAAAAATTGGTGCTTTCTGATTATCCACAGCCATGGTTTTAAAATTTGGTAGAATTGTTGTATTTTTAAGCATACCAGCGACAACCTAACTATGTCTCTGGGTATGGATAATCAGAAAATAAAAAAAATAAATAAATAAAAAATGCATGATATAATACCGGCATAAGTACTTTTTCGGCATAAATTATTTTTAGTTCTTAGATTTTTTTATGCAAGTAGTTGTTTGCTATAGAAGTAGCATTACTTATGTGATTTCAAAATTAAGAAATTGTTAGTATAAATATTAACCTCCAGAATTCTAGAGCTTAATTTGCTATCATCTAATGAATTTTGCCTTTTATTCTGTAATAAAATTACTATCTTAATTATTACCACTGTTTTTGTAACCCAATGTTTTCCTTCAATATGAGCCCACCAGCAGCCGGGCGGTAAAGGCACTGAACACTGGTAGTTCGGTCCGAAGTTCGAATCCCATGAATGGGCTGGCTGCATTGGCGTTTTCGTGGTTTTCCCCATGTGTAATGTGTATACGAGCCAGTTTACCTTAGAAAGTCTTCCATGAAAGCATCCCTTCCTTTAGGCATATAGCCCTCGTGTGCTTTGCCATAATTAAATAATCCTTCAATGTGAGTCCCTCAGTGTAAGGCATTTTTTCTGAAACTGTCTTGAAATTTAGGGTAAGACTTGGTCCTTTCTCGTTAAGTAAGAACAGAATAGGTCCTTTGCTATTAATGCTTAGAAAGCTTCTCATTTATATTTTGACCTGATATCTAGAAACTTTTAAGAGATTTGTCACATCTTAAGAATTATTTATAACAGCTGTTTTGTTGACATTGTTGGGGAGTCGGCTGCCATAGCTTAAGCGTTGGGTTCAAATCCTAGAAGAGGCATGTATGTTTGTAAATATATCATATCTTTGTGACATAAGGTCATTTAAAATGCATTAAAGCCAAAAGTCTTCTAAAGAGCTTTGCAACAGAGAAAGAAGTGCAAGAGACTATCATATCTGTCTGGGGGTAGGTGAGGAGTTTTCTATCAAAACTGGAATGGAGCTAAACAAAGTGGGGCTCAGCACCCAGCGTCCTCAAATCCCAGTTGACTGGCTATACTTCTGTCAGTGCACATTGAGTTTAACTCTAATCGTTTAGTATACTCTTATAAATCAGGAATTTTTTTCTTAATAATTTTGTATATACAATGAAAAATTTAATATATCAACAATGTCTGTATTTATTTGCATAATATTTGCTGCATTCTTTAAGCCTAATTGCACAAGTTTTATTCTAACTCATTGCTTTAGTTGAGACCTACATCTATAGAAAAAGAAGTTTTTCCAGAAATGGTTGCAGAAAGCCACCTTTATGCTTTTGAATTAAAAGGATTTTGGATGGATGTTGGACAGCCAAAAGATTATCTGACTGGGATGTGCTTCTATTTGAATTATTTAAAGCAAAAAGATCCTTCATATTTGCATCAAGGCAGCTATGTTGTGGGAAATGTGTTGTTAGTAAGTAATTTTATAAGTAATCTTTTCCTTTTTAATGAATTAAAAGGTAGTTAGTTGTTTGATTGTACAAGATGTTTTTTAAAAGTTGACTATTTTTAAAACCACATTTGATTACATATGCAATGTAATTTATAAAAAAATATCTTAAAAAAGTTTAACATTCATTGTTAACTATTATAGGAATATATTTAATTTTATTTTATATAGGCCACATAATTATTTACTGTAGAGAATATCTTCAGATAACAAGGTTATAGACCAGTTTAACCCATTAACCACCAAAACTACAAGGAATGTTTCTTTTCTCATGAAAATAATAATAAATATTAAATTAAGCATTTGTAACATAAATTTACATTGAAAATAAAAAAAAAAAAAAAAAATGCTCTTACCTGTGGAAAACGCGAGTGTTGCATTCGCACAACATCAGCGGAATAAGACTACAGATGTTTAGTGAGTAGGATTGTACTCTGTGATGTTTCTTTTGAGTGGAGCGCAGGATTACTTTTTAGCTGTATAACGTTTTATAAATCTACAAATCACTTTACTTGTAATTAATTTAATATTAAAATATACATTGTATTTCTTTTACAATTACAGATTATTTCAATTGAAAGATTCAAGCATGAAAAGCTTGATTACAATCATGATGTAAAGCTACATTACATACTTTGCATCTGTAAACAGTCTGGATATGGTATTCTTTACAACAAAGTCTTTTGTTATTAATGGACATTACGATAAAATGTATACCATATCTATTTCTGGCTGATTCTACATTCTCAATAGGAGTTTGTAAATGGAATAATGCATTCTGGCGTCTGAAATCTAAAAGAGACTTTATATTTCCAGTAGTAAAAAGTGGTGATATTTAGTAAGTTTAGATACGGTCTCACCTCATATAATTTATCAGTATTGTCAATTTGACTATTGTCAAATGCAAATTCTGCTTCATATTCTTGTACTGCAAACGTGATGTCGATTCTCGTACAACAGGAACAGAAATGTCCTTATCAAAAGACCAATACATAATTTCTTGAGGTAAAAAATGATATCCTGTAAGCAATTATATTCCAATAAATCTTCTCATATAGGCTTAGGATGCAATAAACAGAGTTGCCAACTCTCCCGATTTAAGCGGGAGAGTCCCGATTTTCAACCGCTCTCCCGCCAACCCGATTTACAGTATATTTCTCCCGACTTTTTCTTATTCTTAGAATTTCTCACGATTTTTATGCAACTTGGCTTCATACTTTCATACTGTTCATACTGTTATATGAATAAAAAAAAGTGCTTTTGGACGTCTGAAAAGCAATTGAATTGAATTCTCTACATTATATCTAAAACAAAACCTTACTAATCAGATAAGCTTCTGCTTTGTGAGTGAGAGTATTATACGTCGAAAATGTCGTTCTCCAGTTCTCCAATGGGCTTGGAGCTCCATTGCGTGTCAGATGGCATATATTAGCCAATGAGGACAAAGCAAGTTGTTATTTGGACGTGCTTTAGTTATTTTGTTCATTTTGTCTAGAGTTGTGTGAGTACACGTGCCTTAGGGAAATAGTTTTAGAAATTATCATCTTTTGTTACGTCTGCGAGAAAGTGAAATACTCGTGTACGTTTCAAAAATCGTACACAGTTGACTTTCCTTCCATTATTTCCTCAAAGAAATGTAATAAATTTGCGATGTGTACCGCCCGTCGTTGCGATTTTTCGATTTCGCATGGTGGAAGGGCTGATGTTCTCAAACATGTACGTACGCAAAAACACAAGGATAACATGAGTTGTTTTTAGAAAAACGAAAAATTAAATTTTTCTTCGGAAACAAAGGACCAAAAAGTTATTATGCAGAATGTCTGTTCTCTGCCTTTTTACTGGACACAACCTGCCACTGAATGCATCGGATCACGCTGCAGCTTTATTTAGAAAAATGTTTCCCGATAGTGAAATCGCTAAAAAATACTCAAGGTGCAAGAATCAAAACAGGATCAATTGCTAAAGAAATAGGTTTGAAAAATAAATCTTCAGTTATTGATTGCATTAAAACAGCTCCATTCTGCCTTTCTACGGATGGAAGTAATAATACCGATTCAAAACTGTATCCAATTGTTGTTTCTTTTTTTGATCCAGAGTTTTCAGAAATTGAGTGCAGTTTACTTTATGTTCCTACTTTAGAAGGACATTTGACAGGCTTTAATATAGCACAGCTAATTATTAAAACTTTAAAAGAAAATGCAGGCCCTCTGGATAATCGCTTAGCACTTGGTGCCGATAATGCACCAGTATTGGTAGGCTTGGAAGATTGGTGTTGCAGGCATCTTAAGAAAGGAAAATTCAGATTATGAGGTGCACCTGTCACCTCTTAAATTTAGCAGCTGAAAAAAAGGCAGCTTCTTTACCAATAAATGTGGATGAACACATTGTTGATATTTATTATTATCTTGAAAGGAGTTCTAAAAGGAAGGAAAAATTGAAACAATCCATCCAAGTCTTTATTCAAGTTTTCTAATTGTAACAGCTGCATTACAATTAGAAAACTTGGATGAAGTTATAAAATCAGCTAGGATTGACCCAGTGGAGTTTAATTGGAAAACTGAAAGGTGCCGATGGAATTGTAAAATATAGTGAACTGTCTAGAATTGTGTTACCATCTTGACGGTTCCCTATAGTAATGCAGTATGTGAGAGGGATTCTCAGTGTTGTGAAAACGAGGACTAAATTTAGATCTAATATTAGTGGTGACACATTCGAAAAACTTTTATTAGCGAAAACAGGCCTACGTGGCAATTGCTGTGAACAAAATTATGAAGTTTCTTTCTTAAAGAAAGCAAAATCTGCCACTGTTTATAACATTTGTACGAAAACTAATTAAAGTGTCTTTTTTTTTCCTTAAACGATGCAAGTAATAAAAATGTTTTTTATGTGTAAGGTATTTTTGTGTTGCTTGCATTTAAGAATTAGTTACTATTTAAAGTTAATTCATTATTAAAATTCATTATTAAATTTTATATTTTTATCATTTAAAAAGTCTTTTTAACATTGTGAAAAATCTCCTGATTTCTTAAAAAAATCTCCTGACTTTTGAGTGTCATAGGTTGGCAAGTATGAATAAATTCCGAGTGCTTTTTTTTCCGCTGAGCGTATATATTTATTTTGCAACGAGAAGAGAGTAAATGTCTAAACCAAAACGAAAATCGAAAATCTGTGCACTAGTTTTACCCTTGTATTTTGTCTTTTATAATTTCTTTTCTATCTCTTCCTTCATGTTCTTCCTGAGACATAACTAACAGTTCCTTTTTTATCCACTTCAAGATTTCAGTCTTCTGCTTTTCAAACTTTTTAGTATGATTATAACTGCTTTTAGAAGGCTGAAACTTACTTCTCACGTGAATTTCAACTTCCCCAGCAGTATCAATTGTTAAAATATTATTATCATTATTTAAAACATTGCCATTCCTTTCTTCTTCATCACTAGATTCTGCAATTTCTGGGGGAACAAGAACAATATCAGTTTCATTCTGGTCATTATTAACATTATCATCATCTGTTTCTTCATCAAAAAGTCTTTGAAGGGCTTCTTCTAATATAAGATACCTCGTTCTAGGCATTTTTAAAGCAGCCAGTACATGAACCAGAACATGGAAAGGAATGAGTAAAAAAAGAGATTATCCGTTTCCTGTTGATGTTGCGTCAGCACAACACCTGCTTTCCTCTTCCTTCCCAACACAAATATAAACATCTGATTAATGTAATGTTCTGATAAACGGTGATCCTTGACTAAAAATAGATCACTCATAAAGACAGCGATTCTTTCCTTAAAATATTTTCAACGAAAATACCCAGTCGAAAATTTTGCTTAAAGTACGAGATTAATTATTATAAACAAAATGATTGTTGAAGGCAAATATTTTTTTACAGAAATAATCTTCATAATATTCTCTACACAAAATCATCTGCTGGTATAAAATATCTTAGGTAGTTATATTTATATACGCATTTATTTTGACCGTTGCGTCAACGCAACACCAGTGGCTAATGGGTTAAGTGCAAGTCTTTTTTCTTTCTTTTTTTTTTAAAAAAGAGGCACATAGCCATATGATAAATTCTGTATGGCTGATGAAATGGAATTTGTCATGGTATAGGAAAGTGAATTTATGTTTATTTTTGATGTTATATGAGTGATATAATATTGACTAATGATTTCATAATTCTCCAACAGTACTTTTCGCTGCATATGTAGCTTTAATTGTAGATTTGCTTTGGTTAATTGTAAATAAAATAAATCTTTAATTTTCATTTGTGTAAAAGGTGAATTTGAATTCTTATAGATAATATTTAAAATCACAAATTGTAAAATAATTGTGTTAGTGATTTAACATCTTACACTTCACCTACTCTTATTTCAATGTGAAATTTTTGCTTCTTCAATCAGATTTTCAAGTACTGTGAGGAAAATTGCCATTAATCCTAAGGCACATGTTGGGCATAATTTTCCCTTTTTACAATTCCCTTAATCCTACAGTTGTACTGTCACTGTTTTTGTCCCCTTAATTTATTTTGTATTATTTAATATACTACACAAAATCCATTTTATTGATTTTACATGCTTATAAAATATGTATGATATTTTTGAAAAAAATTGTTAGGGTACATATGTGTTATTGCAGCCACGTTATTAGAAGTCTGCAAATTTTCAGAATGTGCCAAACTACCAAACTAACTCAGGCAACCATGCTGATAACAATCCCTCAGTTGAACAACATCATCATATTCACATGTTTACTTTTTGTTGTATTCTGGCTTTTATAAACAAATTGTGATATTTTATACCTTAAAATTTAAAAAAATGCACTTGTGGAGTTTTCCGGCAGGGAAAGAAACTGCAATAAAATTTCTTCAGAAACACATAAGTTTAACACAAAATCTCTAAAGGGAACAATGAGGAGATGCGTTTGGTAGGTAACCGAACTTGCTGAAATTTGCATGATGATATATCTCTGCAATTCTGTGATGTTTTTTTAACTGTAAACACATCGCTGTATGGAAATAATAGCACCCCCCCAAAAATTTAAAGATTTGGAGAATTTTTTTTAATGTATGGCGTAATACTTATTTATTATTATTATTTACGTGTTCAAGGCATTACACAGAATGGAGGGATGTTTTGTGGAGTACTTTCTAAGGGAAACTGTCTCATATTAACATAATACACATGGGGAAAACCACAAAAACACCTATGCAGCCAGCTCCCCCTTTTTTTACAGTGTTCATTGTTTACAGAGCATGAATATTGTGGTTTTTCCTAAATTGAATCTTTCTTCTAAACACATTCTGCATGTATGCTGTTGAATTTATAACACCACTAGCAGTTTACAAGAAGTGCTAGAATTGGAATTTTTGATTTATTAAAAGAAAATTTTTATTTTTTAACCAGATTTTTGTTATTACCAAGTTCTGATTTTTAATGCCTTGCAAGTCTATGAAATTGATAACCACTGGCTATGTAAGCAAATTTTCCTACACTGTGAGGAATGTAAACAAATAAATTGCAAAGTGCATTTCATTTGAAACTCAGCATCTGGGAACTTGTGGATAAATAAATACTTTACACATGTTAACCATATAGACTGCAATGAAATGTGCACTAAAGAGTGATGATTTATCTAAAATAAAAAATTTCAAAGTCATGATCTGCAGTTACATTAAAAGTTATGCTAAAGATGTTGAATAACCAATAATGAAATAAATTAGCTTCTTTAATCAGAATGCACTGTAAATATTGTGTACTTTTGTTAGAATTTTACTTTGTTTACTGTTTTATTTTTGTATATTTGTATTAAAAAATAAATACTGTTAAATTTATCATACTGAATTTTCTGAAAATCAATTTTTTTACTTCCAAAAATGAGTGTAGTAATAGTCATTAATGGATTACGAAGTCACGAATTACTAGAATTCTTCTGTATTTTACTACTGTATCTACTGAATACTTACTGCCCTCATGCCTTTTGTGTTAATTGACTAAACAGTATCAGTTGAAAAATTTGAAAGAAATGGGTGGAATTTTTTAATAGCTCAATGCATAACAATTTGATTGCAGTATTTTCTCTCCAAGAGGTACAGAAAAAGTTAAATTCATTTTATTGAAGTACTCCCACTCTTATAGTTGCCAGTGTTCATCTTATTTTGAAAAATTCTGCAACTTGAAGAATGCATATTGAATCAATTTTTAGATAAAGAAGAACGTACAACACATTCCATGCAAAAATTTATTATATAAAAACTGTATCAAATTTAAATAATTTTTTTCACCCCCAAAATTTCCCAAAAGTAGTTTTCTCTACGTGAATTTCATATCCTGAGAAAAGAAAAATTGTAGCAACTTCGTTTGTAGTAGATACTTGATGCAGGTGATTAAATGAAAAACATGTAGTTATAGTGCTATGTTCTGAATAATTTTATCTTTATTAAATTAGTGCAAAAGTTCTTAATCGCTTTTCTTTAGAATGAAATATTTCAACAGTTTTTAAGATTTTTTCCTACAAGGTATTCAGGAACGAGAGTTTCTAAAGTAAGGTATGATTCAAATTCAGAAATATTATACAACGGTACACTACCAAATAAACATTCTTGGATTCAGTCAAAAATTTGAAACAGATTTTTTTTTTCAAAAAATATGAATGCACTCTGAAATTTTGTGTAGCAATACATAATTAATAAAAAAAGGAGAATGGCAAATTAAATTATCTCTACATTCAATCAATAATAAGAACTAATTCATTTTAGATTGAGCCAACTTGAATAAAACATAAAATTTTATATTGTATGTTAATTCCCTTCTTGGAATTAACACACAAATATAAAATGTAGCAAAAATCAACCTTTCATTGATGTTAGTTCTGTCAATTTCAAAGGAGAAGAGCATTTGTTGAAATAAGCTAATACACATTATAGCTTGTATGTATTATGCTCTGTATGTATTATGTACTTATTCTTGTATGTATTATGTACTATATTAGATGAAAAACATTTTTGTTCTGTTGGTAGAACATTAGAGATTTAATCATTTATTTTCATTTAACAAAAATTTCCAGACATGCATCTATCTCTTACAAAAGTAAAATAGTAGTATATATTTTAGTTTTGAAAATTTTATAATGTGTGCTTAGTTTCATTTAATTTACTTGAATATCAGTGTATCTCATAGTTTTCATTGTGATTGTGTTTCAATGAAATGTTAAAAGTAAGTTTAACTATGGTAATTAAGTTTGTGTATTCTTGTTGAAATTATTTTATTTGCACATCTATTATGATAACAACAATACGTTCTTTAATAGCTAACAACAGTGCATATTCTAACATTTAAATTTTATTTGTAATTTATAATTGTCATATTAAGCAGTTATTTTAGTGAGCTATATTCTTCATATTCATGACAAGATGGATTTAAAGAAGATCTTATTCTGAGAGTAAAATTATATTCATAAATATGTCACAGGCTTCTTCAAATATAGTTTAAACTTGGGTTTGGAAAATCCAGGAGTAGTATTAGAAGAAATGTTAAATCACTGATCATAGTTATTCAAAGATAAAGTCCAAGTGCCATGGGTTAGGATCTGTAGGCAGATGTGTGCTTTCATGCAAGAATGTAGCCTGTCTCTACAATATCACATTGAGAAATTGGAGGAGGGTTATGAGATATAAATAGAAAAATCTTTCTTTAAAATGAAAGAAATTGAGAGTGAAGATTCTGATTTCTTTCACACATTTCTTAATACTGACATTTAATCTGATTTAAAATAATAACAATTAACGAAAGGAAATCTCCTCTTTTTTAGTGAACATACCTAAGTTCTGAAAGATATTGCTTTACATGTTATATCAAGAACAGAAGAGGCTAAAAAATATTTATTTATAACTATAAAAATAATTTATACTTTGATTAAATAACATCCCCGACTTTTTTAATATTGAAACATACGTGTAATTAGTCTTACGCATATAACATTAAAAATGGTTTTTGCTGAACTTCACAATGATGTTTTTCATTTTCACACACATTCATATACACATGTAAAATAAACAAATAAAAATACAATTTTCAAAATAAAAATACAATTTTCAGTCTACTGTTCTGTGCTTTTGTGCGTTTTATTTATGCACGTAACTTTTAATGTTTTAGTTAATTTACTTCTGTAAGCCCCGTGTTGCACATCTATGGTGCATGGGAGAGTCTGTATGTTTTCAAATGAAAAAAAGAAAAAAAGTTACGGCTAGCCACTTGATCAGAAGGCACAATTTTTCGGGGGTGTATAATTAAAGAAAACAAAGTAGTCATAAAAAATTTTAAACAGGCATTTATTTAATTTATTAAACAGACATATTTTAAAACTTTTTATCTCCAGCACGCGAGACCGTGTATCAGATATTCTTAAAGATGTGCTCATTTTAAAATTATTTTGCAATATTGCTTTTGAATTGAATTTTATGGTTTAAGAGCAAAGATGATATTTAATAAATAAAGGTAACACACAAAACGTTAAAAAAAAAAAAAAAAAAAAAAAAAAAACCTTTGAGCGTAATGTAAAATCTGAAGGCTTTCAGATTTTTTAAAAATTGATGGTCCTTAAAAGTACTTAATTTACATGTGTAGAACTGTTTATGAACCCTGAAACCATTTTTAAGATGTAGCTGCACATTTGAGCATATAGATGAAAGCTGCAAATTGCCACTTTTACATAATTCCTGCATGGTTTCTAAGGTATGTCTAGTAAAGAGGTTGTTTTTTAAATTGATTTACAAATTCTATGAATATTATCAAATTTTTTCTTAAAAGCATATAAATTATAATGGTCTTTGATTATCACTTTTGTCTAAAATGTGATTTAATGTGTTATAATAAAATAATCAAGCATACATTTTTCTCAATTTCAGCATCCTAGTGCACAGATAGGTGAAAACTGCCGCATTGGACCAAATGTAGTTATAGGGCCTGGCGTTGTCATTGAAGATGGAGTGTGTATTAAGAGATGTACTCTACTAAAAAATGCTCGTATACAGTCACATTCTTGGTTAGAATCTTGTATAATTGGATGGAAATGTGTAGTTGGTCGTTGGGTAAGTGTGTGCAAAATTTAATATTTTAATTTTTTTGGCCAAAGTTGTATAAATATAGCAATTGTTCTAGGTCATGCAGAGCTATTTCTGTGTTTTTGTTAGTTTAACTTTTTGTCCTATGTAGTCACCGCTGCATTGACACTAAAGGATAATTTAATAACTCTGTTGTCACTGCTGTGATGACATTGAAAGATAAGTTGAAAACTCCGTTGTCCCTGTAACAATTGTAGTACTGTACAAAGTCCGTGATCCGGGCGTCCAATATCCGGAATGATCTAATTCAGAATTCAGACTTGGAATTCTATCCGGAATTCAAACCTTAAAGCCACCAACAACTTTTTTTTTTAATGCTTTATGCATACGCAATTGATTTTTTTCCCCATAAGAAAATATAGAGAATCCTGTTTCTTAATTTCACTTTGGCACTAAATAAAATACCTTGTTATTGAAGAAACAATCATTTTAGCATAAATATGTGTAATCAATAATTTGGTTCCATAACTGTGTATCTCCTTGTGTACATGTCAAACCGAAACATTCTACATAGAAATATTGTTTATTTTACGACTAATATTTTATATACCTGTTGGCAATGTGGCATATCATTATTTACTATATTTTGCTTTCGTCACTGTATGCTTATCAACACATGACAATTTGAGTAATGACTCATGAAGCAATGCCTAAATTTTTTTTTATTTTAGTATTTGAATAACAAAGAGTATGAAAAGCTTTATGTTGACATTACGTTTGGCGATGATTACAGATTTAAGTTAAATGTGCTAAATGTTGATGGAAAAAAATTTAACAAAAATTACTTTCCATATGTAAAACTAGATTTTGTTAATGATACTTATAGGCCAAAAGAGTACATTTAGTGCTATTTGAATTAGGAGTAACTGATTTATTATTCACATAAAACCAGAACTGACATCAGAGTTCGTATGGCTGCACTGGGCAGCAGAACTTAGGGAAGACAAAATTTTTGGCATTTAGAGAAGCACAGAGTAACAAAATTAAGGGATGATAAAAATTTTAGAATTTAGGGAAAGCACTGGAACCCAAAATTGAGGGACGACAAAAATTTAGAACTTAGGAAGGCGCTTAATAGCAGAATTTAGGATCCACAGAGACTGCATCAGGTGGCAAAATATCTAACGCCAGCCCTCAGTAAGCTTAAGTGTATGTGGGAATTATTTATTCAGGACTCAGATAAGCTTTAAGCATATGCAAGAATTAGACGCAAGTATAATAAATAGCTAAATTAATACAATTTAGACTTAGTTTTGTCAGTGCGCAACAGAAGCAAGACAAAATTTAACGGAACATTTTGTCTTTCATCGCCAGTCTCATGCTACATAGCCGATAATGTACAGCAGATGCTGTTAAGCTAAGCTAAAACTATACTTTACTGTTTCCAAAGGATTTCAATTAATATACCAGATTGTGCTGTTTCTTAATTTTCTGATTTGATCGAGCTTATTATATTTTGCAGGCTGTTATAATTACAACAATTGTATGAAAATTAAAGTCTGAACTTTTGATTATATCAAAAAGAGTTTCTAATTCTGGAGCTGCAACAGCATCTACGATATAGGTTATAAATATATATATATATATACAAAAAATGGATATAGGTAAAAATGGATATCCCTCTCAAAATTATGCAAGGAGTATACCATTGGAAAGTCAACCGTATATGACAAAACGGAAAAAGGAATTTTATGAATTTTTTGTGGAGTCTGACACCCCACTAGCAATGAATAATAGAAAAATTATTCGCTATGCTAAGTGATGATCACAACAAAGTGATGATTGAATGGTCATACAGAGACGCAGCAAGGGTGTGCCACTGACAGATCCAATGCTAATGGCTGAAAAAATAAACTTAAAAACTGAGTGCACATATTTGACAGACGAAATTTTAAAAACCGGTATGATGCAGTTCAAAATTTCAGGTGAAAATCCTTCAGCTGCTGAACTATTTACAGATGAACTCATCAATAGTGAAATGTTATCTCGATGAAAAATTTAAAACGTTTATGAAACTGGTATTTTCTGGCAGTATGTACCGTGAAATGCCTTGGCAACCTCTACAGGAAAGGCTCCAACTAGCATCAAAGATTCTAAAGCCAGACTAACAATTTTAAATTGTACAAATGCTCCAGGAACGCACAAGTTTAAACTTATCTGTGTGACCTCAAACATTTAAAGGAGTAAAGGTTTTCCCGTTGTATATCATGCAAATAAAAGAGCATAGATAACACAAGTGTTGTATGATTGGTTTGAAAATCATTTCATACTCGAGGCTCGGCAAAATTTGAACTCGGTTCATTTTACCTGATGACACAAAAATTGTCTTGATTGTAAATAACTGTTCGGTTCATATTTCATTTAAAGTTTTAATGAAAGATAATGTATCCATGTTATTCTTTCTTCCAAACTGTACATCCATCATTCAGCCTATGAATATTGAAATAGTGCGGGTGCTGAAATACAAATATAAAGTATTGTAGTATTTCTAAAATCCATGTTAAATTTCTTGAATAATGGCACAACTGTTCAAGAATTTAAAAAATATTTTAGCATAAAATCTGCTGTGTGGAGTATCGCAAGGTCGTGGAAGGGTGTTTAAAAAATCCGGATACTTTAAAAAGTGCTTGACGTAATTTATGGCCAGCTACCATATTTCGTGGTGAGGATGATGAAGATGATAAGCCTTGAATTTGAAGGCTTTCAGATATCACAAACCACAGGTGGAATTTTCCAATTAATGGATTTTGTAAAGAAATGGGGAGAAGTGCTAATAAATGAAGGTGATATAACAGAAGCTTTACATTGCAATGACAATGCTCCAATCATCAGTCAATTAACAGATGGCAAAATCTGTAGTGTGGTTCTAGATCTAGAAAATACCGCTCCCGATAATGAAGAAAGTTACAGAGAGGTTATTAAAATGAAAAAGTTTCGATTAACAAGTTAGTCGGAATTCTTGACACAACAGCTACAGGACTTCAGTAGTGGAACTTTGGAACTGAACAAGAAATTATATTTGTCTATAGAATTGAAGAGAAAATATTAGCACAAAAAATGAAGCAACTTAAACAATTTATATTCCAAGATATGTTTAATAAAGTAAGCAAATAAATATTAAGCTTTTTTTTTTTTTTTTTTTGTTAATTTTGATATCCTTTATATCATAAATGCTTCATTATTTTATAAATCACGATTTCATATTTTTAATTTTATAATTTCTACATGTCATCTTACTAGATTTAAACTGATGGTCTAATATCTGGAAAAATCCCAAATCTGGAATCGCCGAAGTCCTGATGAAAACTGGTAACTCCACTGTTGTGATACGACAGCATTTAGAAATAACTTTATATATATATATATATATGCTGTTACAGGACTGAGCTTCTTCCAATCAGGCCTTTTCTCAATGTATTCCTCACCTTAAAATGGGTTAGAAAAACAGTTATGGGAAAAAAAAAAAAGGGCACACATTCACCATCGCTCCTGGAGTAGCTGGTACCTTATAGTAAAATGACTGGAAGTTGCTGAAAGATCATATCAGAAATTGTTTTCAGAGTGCAGAGGTTTAATTTATTAATTTTTCTTTTGTTTTGCAGCAGTTTTATTATATTAATTATTTTAGCTGTTTGGATATTCTTAATAGCAGTTTTTATGCTTACATACTAACTGATACCTTAACCCAGGTTGATCCTGCTTAAGTTTAAAGATTGATACCTAAGAGTTTGCTCTTCCATCATCAAACAACTTGTGCATATTTTGATCATTACGTTTTTATAGACATGTGTGTTTAGTCCTGCAAAATGTTTTTGTTAGTGCAAATGATAGTTAGTGTTAAAATACATTATTTAAACCTTCTAAAATCACCTCTTGTATGAGCTTTGGAGATTCACCTAGGAATGGAATTGAAGCCCTGTAATGTTTCCCAAACAAATGGATATTGCAGAATATTCAAGCATGGGCTAATTTTCATCATTTGAAGCTGAGTATATGGGGGGGGGAAAAAAAAAAAAAAGCAGCAATTTATAAAAGTGCAACATTGATCAATTTAGGCAAATTGTCAATTTAGGTTTAAGAAATTGTATGATCTTATTGTATCTAAGTTGTATAAAACGATTCTAAAACAAAGGAACATACTAGTGTTCGGTAGGGCCAAAGTTTGTTCCCACCTAATCAATTGGGATGAGAATGTGATTTATTTTATTCATCCAGGGATAAGTCTTTAGCTGATACCAGTAACATGTGAATCAAAACTCCAGAAAATAAAAAGCTGAATTTTTTCCAAAAGCATTCTGAGAAAAGCACAGAGCAATTCCAAGGATTAAGGGTATAAGCTTGTAAATCAGAATAGTAGTAAAATAGAACGTATTTGCTATGTATGCGAGAGTAAGGGTGAGTTGTTTCATTTTGCAAGAAATTGCCCCAAGCTTTTCGAAAAGGAGGAAAGTTTGTCTAAAAAAAAAGTTATCTGAGTTAAAGATTGGGTTGGGTAATGGAGTTAGGAATCAGTTAGAATTTATTGAATTCTTGAATGATGGTAAGAAAATAAAATGTTTAATAGATTCTGGGAGTGAATTGATAGTTGTAAAGAAATATATTTTTCCAGATAAACCAGCATCTGGATTAATAGAAATCAAAAGTTCTTTAGGTCACATGGTTAAAGTGGAAACGGCCAAGTTTATTTTTTCTTTATGCGAAAGCGGAAAACAAATTGAACTAGAGGCAGTGATGGTTTTGAGCTGATAACAGACTGTATTTTGCCACCGTTATTTCTGAAAAGGTTCGCTGGCACCTGCAGTGATCAGGTGATGATTACGCAATATGAAAATGATTCCAGATCTTCGAAAAGGAATTTTTTGTGTTTTATTTCTGCAGGCATTGAGGGAGACAGCGAAATAGATTTATCGCACATTAGGGATACAGGATTATGAAATACTGTTTCCACTCTTATTAAAGAGTATAAA